TAAATATTTGACACAGCATAGGTTTCTGACACAGAATGAATGTGGTCTAAGAACTTAAAAATTTTAAATTGGACATTCACCTATTATGGTCCAATATCCAAAATCTAAATACATGGTTAGATTCAGCATATCAAAGAACCCCAAGAATTCAATTTTTGATGAAATCAAACAAAGTTTAATTTTGGACCCTTTTGACCTCAATGTGGACAAAGTTGATAACGGGGCCCAAAAATCAAAAATCTAAATACATGGTTAGATTCAGCATATCAAAGAACCCCATATATTCAATTTTTGTTGAAATCAAACAAAGTTTAATTTTGGACCCCGATTTGGACCAACTTGAAAACTGGGCCCATAATTAAAAATCTAAATACATGTTTAGATTCAGCATATCAAAGAACCCTAAAAATTCAATTTTTGTTAAAATCAAACTAAGTTTAATTTTGGACCCTTTGGACCTTAATGTAGACCAATTTGAAAACGGAACCAAAAATTAAGAATCTAAATACACGGTTAGATTCAGCATATCAAAGAACCCCAATAATTCAATTTTTGATGAAATCAAACAAAGTTTAATTTTGGACCCTTTGGACCTCAATGTGGACCAATTTAAAAGCGGGGCCCAAAATCCAAAACCTAAATACACGGTTAGATTCAGCATATTAAAGAACCCCAAGAATTCAAGAATAAAACCCCATTGAAATTGGTCAAGAAATAAGCAATTTATAGGAAGTATCTTCTTTTGCACAATACTGTGCAATTAAATATTTCTTGCTATTGCGCAATACTGTACAATTGACAATTTCTTGCTATTGCGCAATATTGTGCTATTGGATATTTCTTGCTATTGCGCAATACTGTGCAATTGAAGATTTCTTGCTATTGCGCAATACTGTGCAATTGAAGATTTCTTGCTATTGTGCAATACTGTGCAATTGAAAATTTCTTGCTATTGCACAATACTTATTATATATAATAATTTACACATCCTGTTTGGTGTGTATCTCCTACCATATCATTATTATTTGCTTTTAAATATAAATCAGAAATAACCAACTTAAAATGGAAAATTTTAAAAGAAAAAAAAAAGGAAAAAAAAAAAAAATCCCCCCCCCCCAATTTTTTTAACCCCCTTATGATTCATCACCCCCAAACTCAATCCCAGCCTTCCCTATGTGGTATGGTACCTTGCAGTACAATTTCAGAGAGATCCATACACTTGAACACAAGTTATTGTCTGGAAACTAGAATAAAATGCTCCGCAGGGCGCAGCTTGATACGACCGCAGAGGTCGAACCCTGAACAGTTGGGGCAAGTATGGACACAACATTCAAGCTTGATACAGCTCTGAATTTGGATTGTGATTAAATATTTGACACAGCATAGGTTTCTGACACAGAATGAATGTGGTCTAAGAACTTAAAAAATTTAAATTGGACATTCACCTATTATGGTCCAATATCCAAAATCTAAATACATGGCAAGATTCAGCATATCAAAGAACCCCAAGAATTCAATTTTTGATGAAATCAAACAAAGTTTAATTTTGGACCCTTTTGATCTCAATGTGGACAAAAATGATAACAGGGCCCAAAAATCAAAAGTCTAAATACATGGTTAGATTCAGCATATCAAAGAACCCCATATATTCAATTTTTGTTGAAATCAAACAAAGTTTAATTTTGGACCCCGATTTGGACCAACTTGAAAACTGGGCCCATAATCAAAAATCTCAATACATGTTTAGATTCAGCATATCAAAGAATCCTAAAAATTCAATTTTTGTTAAAATCAAACTAAGTTTAATTTTGGACCCTTTGGACCTTTATGTAGACCAATTTGAAAACGGAACCAAAAATTAAGAATCTAAATAGACGGTTAGATTCGGCATATCAAAGAACCCCAATAATTCAATTTTTGATGAAATCAAACAAAGTTAAATTTTGGACCCTTTGGACTTCAATGTGGACCAATTTAAAAATGGGGCCCAAAATCCAAAAACTTAATACACGGTTAGATTCAGCATATTACAGAACCCCATATATTCAATTTTTGTTGAAATCAAACAAAGTTTAATTTTGGACCCCGATTTGGACCAACTTGAAAACTGGGCCCATAATCAAAAATCTAAATACATGGTTAGATTCAGCATATCAAAGAACCCCATATATTCAATTTTTGTTGAAATCAAACAAAGTTTCATTTTGGACCCCGATTTGGACCAACTTGAAAACTGGGCCCATAATCAAAAATCTAAATACATGGTTAGATTCAGCATATCAAAGAACCCCATATATTCAATTTTTGATGAAATCAAACAAAGTTTAATTTTGGACCCTTTTGATCTCAATGTGGACAAAGTTGATAACGGGGCCCAACAATCAAAAATCTAAATACATGGTTAGATTCAGCATATCAAAGAACCCCATATATTCAATTTTTATTGAAATCAAACAAAGTTTAATTTGGACTCCGATTTGGACCAACTTGAAAACTGGGCCCATAATCAAAAATCTAAATACATGGTTAGATTCAGCATATCAAAGAACCCCATATATTCAATTTTTGTTGAAATCAAACAAAGTTTAATTTTGGACCCCGATTTGGACCAACTTGAAAACTGGGCCCATAATCAAAAATCTAAATACATGGTTAGATTCAGCATATCAAAGAACCCCATATATTCAATTTTTGTTGAAATCAAACTAAGTTTAATTTTGGACCCTTTGGACCTTTATGTAGACCAATTTGAAAACAGAACCAAAAATTAAGAATCTAAATACACGGTTAGATTCAGCATATGAAAGAACCCCAAGAATTCAAGAATAAAACCCCATTGAAATTGATCAAGAAATAAGCAATTTATACGAAGTATCTACTTTTGCACAATACTGTGCAATTGATTATTTCTTGCTATTGCTCAATACTGTACAATTGACAATTTCTTGCTATTGCCCAATATTGTGCTATTGGATATTTCTTGCTATTGCGCAATACTGTGCAATTGAAGATTTCGTGCTATTGCGCAATACTGTGCAATTGAAGATTTCTTGCTATTGTGCAAAACTGTGCAATTGAAAATTTCTTGCTATTGCACAATACTTATTATATAATAATTTACACATCCTGTTTGGTGTGTATCTCCTACCATATCATTATTATTTGCTTTTAAATATAAATCAGAAATAACCAACTTAAAATTTAAAATTTTAAAAGAAAAAAAAAAGGAAAAAAAGAAAAAAAAAAGAAAAAAAAAATCCCCCCCCCCAAATTTTTTGAACCCCCTTATGATTCATCACCCCCAAACTCAATCTCAGCCTTCCCTTTGTGGTATGGTACCTTGCAGTACAATTTCAGAGAGATCCATACACTTGAACACAAGTTATTGTCTGGAAACTAGAAAAATGCTTATTTTTGGCCCCTTTTTGGCCCCCAATTCCTAAACGTTTCGGGCAATTACCCCCAAACTCAATTCCAGCTTTCCCTTTGTGATATGGAACCTTGTAGTACAATTTCAGAAATATCCAAACACTTACACACAAGTTATTGTCATGAAACTAGAAAAATGCTTGTTTTTTGCCCCTTTTTTTGCCCCTAATTCCTAACATTTTGAGGCAATTACCCCCAAAATCAATTACAGCCTTCCTTTTGTGATATGGAACCTTGTGGTACAATGTCAGAGAGATCCATACACTTACACACAAGTTATTGTCTGGAAGTTACAAAAATGCTTATTTTTGGCCCCTTTTTCCTTAACTGTTGGTACCATAACCCCCAAAATCAATCCCAACCTTCCTTTCGTGGTATTGAACCTTATGGTAAAATTTCATGGAGATCCATTCACTTAAATTAAAGTTAGAGTGCGAAAACCAATGTGTCTTCGGACGACGCCGGACGACGACGACGACGACGACGACGCCAACGTCATACCAATATACGACCAAAAAATTTTTAATTTTTGCGGTCGTATAAAAATGTGTTTTTTGGCCCCTTTTTGGCCCCAAATTCCTAAACATATAGGGCAATTACCCCCAAACTCAAACCCAGCTTTCCCTTTATGATATGGAACCTTGTAGTACAATTTCAGAAAGATCCATACACTTACACTTAAGTTATTGTCATGAAACTAGAAAAATGCTTGTTTTTTGCCCCTTTTTTGCCCCTAATTCCTAAAATTTGGAGGCAATTACCCCCAAAATCAATCCCAGCATTCCTTTTGTGATATGGAACCTTGTGGTACAATGTCAGAGAGATCCATACACTAACACACAAGTTATGTCTGGAAGTTACAAAAATGCTTATTTTTGGCCCCTAATTCCTTTACTGTTGGTACCATAACCCCCAAAATCAATCCCAACCTTCCTTTTGTGGTATTGAACCTTGTGGTAAAATTTCATAAAGATCCATTCACTTAAACTAAAGTTAGAGTGCGAAAACCAATGTGTCTTCGGACGACGCCGACGACGCCAACCTCATACCAATATACGAGCACAAAATTTTTTTTGCGGTCGTATAAAAACAACAATGACTAGATTTTGCCAACATGAAAAGTCCGTTTGGCATAACCCACAGTGTATGTATTGGTCTCCCTTCTTGGATGAATCGAGACACTTCCAAATCACAGCATATTCCTGCCTAAAACGCTGACAAAGCTTCTTCTGCTTGTCTTTTTCATTTCCCCCTTCAACGTTTCCTTCATGATACTTTTGTTTCAGCATCGCTGGAAAGTCACGATCGCAGAGCATTTGAAAGACATACTTTTATAATCATTATCAAGCGCGTAAAAGACAAAGACTCTGTTTTGCGTTCAGATAACTTTCTTTGGACACAAAATTACATACTGCCTTTTATTTTTACTGTAACATCTTTGAAAGCGTAGAAATGACCAATTTGGACGTAGAGCGTAATTTTGGAGCCAAAATTGTAGAAACTACGCTAAAATTGTAGTGGTAAACAGGTCTGTTTACTACATTGCTTAGATGACAGAAAGCAGTTCTTACTTGGTATAATACTTCTGTATCTGTTTTTCATACCAGAACCAGCAACATGGACCTTCTCTGGGTGGTTTGTGAATATTTCCTATAAAAAAGAATTTTAAATATTTTTTACAAACTAATACACTAGCTGTATATAATCTAGTTAGGTCAGGTTTAACCTTATTCCAGTGTTCTCCCTAGGATTTTTGGATAGCACCAGGGTAACGCGTGTGGACTGCTTGGTGAAATGATTCATACAATCAGTTGTGTCGCGTCGCGTCCCGTCGCTTAGCTATATTTCTAGTAACTGTAGTTTTTATGTTTCCTGTTTTGTTTTAATGCTGTGGTACTGTGTTATGTAGACATTGAAAATTATTGGTAAAAAAGAAGTAAATCAATAAACAGTTTGACATGTATACTTTAATATTTTTTAAAAATAAATAAAACATGATACATTACAAAATATTCATCTAAATTTAAAGTTATTAAATCTTTTATAAAATCAATGATCAATAAGAATAAAATATCATTTAAAAGAGAACAAAAATGTTCAATTTAAAAAAACTTTCTTATTTCTAGAATGAAAGATGTTGTATTGTGAAAGGATTCCTGTCATAAGGAGATATAAAATTAACAAGAATAAATATTTTATTATTATTTGAACCAGTTTCTATCTTAAATTTTAATAAAAAGAAATTTTTCATAAATTTCAAAACATTTTGCCTTAGATTTACTTTTCTTGTCTTTAGTGATAATCAAACATAGATACAGACTTAATACTGCACTGAAATCTAAATCTTTTTTTGTCATGATCCATTTAAAAAGAATTCCTAAATCTATAAATTTATCCTAGTTCTATAGATCTATAAGTAACCCTATTCAATGCCAACAACTAAGTCTCCCTATTTTCCGCCTAAATGACAGGAAGTAGATATAAATAGATTTAACATGTGCTTATGGATAAAATTTGCAAATCACTTCTGTTATTCATTAATTATCATATGGATATAGATATCCAGTTTGAAGGTACAGTCATGCATTTTATTTATAAAATAGAATAGATTGCAGTTAATTGTAAATAATCTAGGGTATTCTATGTGAACTAACTGGGTCATGTGATCCGTCCCCTTTGAATTACTTGTTGACAGATACGATGATAGTTTGAAACCGGAATATCATGCCATATAAACTATGTCAAAATTAAAGATAATTTGGCCATGGTTTAATCAAGAGTACTATTATATAAGTATTGAGAAGTGTATCATGGTCAATTATACATAATGAGCCAACTTTATAATGTACAAAATGTGTACCGTCGTGTGTACAACTATCCAACTATCGGGTCAACACGGTTTGTGTACAAAGTATTTGCCGACTTGTCAGGTGGTGAGTGAAGCCATAAAATAGTTATCTACGATCATAAAGTTATGATCTCTTAATTAAAACACAAAAGAATCATTTTACAAGTGTTAATTACATCGATTAAATCCAATCAACAAAGGTTAACCTCATAAAGGTAAATCGATCACGTGGTGTAAACAATCTGAACTGGTTTGAACTGATCAAATTTCACCTGGAACTTTGTACCGCACGGAAAAGATTTAACAAGTCGTTTAAAAGTTTACCGATTTTTGATTTTTTAACTAAAAGTTTTAGCACCACAGAGAAATATAATACATCGCAGTAAGAACGATACCACCACGGTAAAAAATTATACATCGCGGGCCAGCAGTCCTTTAAGGCCCTGGGGGAGAACACTGCTTATTCCCCTAAAAAAAGATACCTATGCAAAAATAAAATTTAGGTTTGTTTCAGTTATGTACTTTTTTTTTTGAAAACTATTTAAATGTAAGACAAGATGAATGTGAAGTAACAATTACCCAGAACTCTTGATGCAAAGCTCGGTTATTTCGGACAGCATTTTTCAAATCTTGTCGGCTAAGTCGATGACCAGCAGTCATTAAATACTCTACTCCTGTACTGTAATAAAATATAATTGAAAAATGGTAGTTTATGTACATGTGCTGTAAACAATATTTAAGTCTTACCTATAGGTTACTTGTTTTCCCATAGTCTAAATTTTCAACCTTAATATCCTTAAAATAATTTGAATATTCTATATCTCTGACATATTATAAAATTCAAAACAAGATTTCATGCATTTCGTGCTAAGCACATCTCTGACTTGTAATTCAGAGTATCTTAAACCAGGAGATTGCTGTAAAGGGCTCTCACAACTCCTTACTGCCAAGCTTCTGACTAAATATGGAGTTATTCTTTTCAGTAGTACTTGATTAAAGTATGATTAAGTATGAAGAATATTTTTTGTTCATAAAAATATTGAAAAATTCAAAGTATTGGCAAACAGGAAGAAGGTGTCTGACAAATCCAAAATGTGCTCACACTTAACACATCATCAATGTTGAGCTGGTGACAAAATATAGTAGTACCTGAGAAAAGTGTGATGGAAGAATTTATTGGACAGACTAAATAACAGTATAGGTGAATGTAATGCAGCCCCCATCCCAGAATAGAAGTATAAAATTTGAATCCCCTAATTAAAGTATATAATGTATCTGATTAAGGAAGTGAGATGAATAATAGGTTTCACCTATCCTAAAACAAGATCTAAGTGAAATGTAATGTGTACTGTAGTCTTAATGTTCTGTTAAAAATTATCATGACTAAATCATACAGAGGTAAATATAACCATAAATAAATGCATGATTTATGTAGGGTCATCATAAATTTTTAATTTCTTGTCAGCAATAAATATGCTGTCATTTGCTCAATGTTATCTTATATTTCATTGCATCTGTTAATTCTTCAAAGTTAAATGTAAACCAACTAATTTTAGCCAGCAATTTATTTCCCTATAAATATAAATTTTAGCGAATACCGTAATAGGGCTTGTATAGTTCGCACTGGTACATAGTCTGCACCCCCTTCTCCCCACGAAATTTCAGGTAAAATAAAATGCTCCGCAGGGCGCAGCTTGATACGACCGCAGAGGTCGAACCCTGAACAGTTGGGGCAAGTATGGACACAACATTCAAGCTTGATACAGCTCTGAATTTGGATTGTGATTAAATAGTTGACACAGCATAGGTTTCTGACACAGAATGAATGTGGTCTAAGAACTTAAAAATTTTTAAATTGGACATTCACCTATTATGGTCCAATATCCAAAATCTAAATACATGGTTAGATTCAGCATATCAAAGAACCCCAAGAATTCAATTTTTGATGAAATCAAACAAAGTTTAATTTTGGACCCTTTTGATCTCAATGTGGACAAAGTTGATAACGGGGCCCAAAAATCAAAAATCTAAATACATGGTTAGATTCAGCATATCAAAGAACCCAATATATTCAATTTTTGTTGAAATCAAACAAAGTTTAATTTTGGACCCCGATTTGGACCAACTTGAAAACTGGACCCATAATCAAAAATCTAAAGACATGTTTAGATTCAGCATATCAAAGAACCCTAAAAATTCAATTTTTGTTAAAATCAAACTAAGTTTAATTTTGGACCCTTTGGACCTTTATGTAGACCAATTTGAAAATGGAACCAACAATTAAGAATCTAAATACACGGTTAGATTCGGCATATCAAAGAACCCCAATAATTCAATTTTTGATGAAATCAAACAAAGTTAAATTTTGGACCCTTTGGACCTCAATGTGGACCAATTTAAAAACGGGGCCCAAAATCCAAAAACTTAATACACAGTTAGATTCAGCATATTTAAGAACCCCAAGAATTCAAGAATAAAACCCCATTGAAATTGATCAAGAAATTAGCAATTTATACGAAGTATCTTCTTTTGCACAATACTGTGCAATTGAATATTTCTTGCTATTGCGCAATACTGTACAATTGACAATTTCTTGCTATTGTCCAATATTGTGCTATTGGATATTTCTTGCTATTGCGCAATACTGTGCAATTGAAGATTTCTTGCTATTGCGCAATACTGTGCAATTGAAGATTTCTTGCTATTGTGCAATATTGTGCAATTGAAAATTTCTTGCTATTGCACAATACTTATTATAGAATAATTTACACATCCTGTTTGGTGTGTATCTCCTACCATATCATTATTATTTGCTTTTAAATATAAATCAGAAATAACCAACTTAAAATGGAAAATTTTAAAAGAAAAAAAAAAGGAAAAATAGAAAAAAAAAAATCCCCCCCCCCAAATTTTTTGAACCCCCTTATGATTCATCACCCCCAAACTCAATCCCAGCCTTCCCTTTGTGGTATGGTACCTTGCAGTACAATTTCAGAGAGATCCATACACTTGAACACAAGTTATTGTCTGGAAACTAGAAAAATGCTTATTTTTGGCCCCTTTTTGGCCCCCAACTCCTAAACGTTTCGGGCAATTACCCCCAAAATCAATTACAGCCTTCCCTTTGTGATATGGAACCTTGTGGTACAATGTCAGAGAGATCCATACACTTACACACAAGTTATTGTCTGGAAGTTACAAAAATGCTTATTTTTGGCCCCTTTTTGGCCCCTAATTCCTTAACTGTTGGTACCATAACCCCCAAAATCAATCCCAACCTTCCTTTCGTGGTATTGAACCTTATGGTAAAATTTCATGGAGATCTATTCACTTAAACTTAAGTTAGAGTGCGAAAACCAATGTGTCTTCGGACGACGCCGACGACGACGCCAACGTCATACCAATAGACGACCAAAAAATTTTTAATTTTTGCGGTCGTATAAAAACTTTTTGTAACTGTTACAAAAGGTCTAATGAAACTTCGGTAATTTTAAATCGTGTGTGGTCGTTTGCTGTATTTTCTTGGAAAAACCTATTTTCCATCACCAATAGAAGCTGAAACTGCTTGTAAATGGTTCTAAAACACTTCACGCTGGTTAAAATAAGTCTAAATCACACATAAAAACAATTAAGAAACTTGTGTATGTTTAAACCGGAATTTTGAAAAGCACATGTAAAAGATGAAAAAAACCGGTGAGAGTTGAAATCTGTACATAATAGATATCACTATAATATGACATTGAAAGTAAAACAGTTCCCTCTTTATGTAAAACAGTGTTTAATATATCTATCACATTAATGTTTGAAGGGTCTTAGCTAATACAAAACATATTTGTCAATAGGAAACACCAAAACAGAATGAATAATAACCGATTACGTTTTGTAGTTTACACATCGTAAGCTGTTTACGGTTGTCTTTTTTTACCTTTTTTGTACGATTTCATTCAAGCAGATACCAGTTTATATTTAGCAATGCATTGAAAAGAAACGAGAATTTTGTAATGAAGCATTTAATTTTTAAATTTATCAGTATTAATTTGATATTGAATAAAAATAACTTATTAATATGGATTGGGTAAAATTATTGCTTTGAAAAATGAAAAGAGCGCCCTCTATAATGTCAATAACAAACATGGCAGAACGTAAACAAACCACATCGCGAAATTGAAATTTTCTCTCTTATTTCTGGCTTATTGTAGTCTATAGTCCGCACCCCTGCTGTCAGGGTCAATTTTGGAGAATAAAACCGCAGACTAAACAAGCCTTTTAACAGTATAACAAATATTATCTTCTCTGATAAATACATTGTGAATTTCAACTCCTCACATGGTAGGTGCACTCGACTCAAATCTTAATTGACTAGGATTGTCAATTTTGCTGCCGAAGGTCGGTGGTTCTATCTGGGCACTCTAGCTACAACCATCCAAAAATAAAATGCTCCGCTGGGCGCAGCTTGATACGACCGCAGAGGTCGAACCCTGAACAGTTGGGGCAAGTATGGACACAACATTCAAGCTTGATACAGCACTGAATTTGGATTGTGATTAAATATTTGACACAGCATAGGTTTCTGACACAGAATGAAGAACTTAAAATTATTTAATTTACCTATTCAAACCATATCATTATTATTTGCTTTTATATATGAATCAGAAATAACCAATTTAAAATGGAAAATTTTAAAGAAAAAAAAAAGGAAAAAAAAATCCCCCCCCAAAAATTTTTTGAACCCCCTAATGATTCATCACCCCCAAAATCAATCCAAGCCTTCCCTTTGTGGTATGTTACCTTGCAGTATAATTTCAGAGAGATCCATACACTTGAACACAAGTTATTGTCTGGAAACTAGAAAAATGCTTATTTTTGGCCCCCTTTTGGCCCCTTATTCTTAAACGTTTTGGGCAATTACCCCCAAACTCAATTCCAGCTTTCCCTTTGTGATATGGAACCTAGTAGTACAATTTCAGAAAGATCCATAGACTTACACACAAGTTATTGTCGTGAAACTAGAAAAATGCTTGTTTTTTGCCCCTTTTTTAGTCCCTAATTCCTAAAATTTTGAGGCAATTACCCCCAAAATCAATCTAAACAATCCCTTAGTGATATGGAACCTTGCAGTACAATTTCAGACAGATCCATACACTTGAACACAAGTTATTGTCTGGAAACTAGAAAAATGCTTATTTTTGGCCCCTTTTTCCTTAACGTTTTGGGCAATTACTCCCAAACTCAATTCCAACTTTCCCTTTGTGATATGGAACCTTGCAGTACAATTTCAAAAAGATCAAGAGACTTACACACAAGTTATTGTCATGAAACTAGAAAAATGCTTGTTTTTTGCACCTTTTTTAGCCCCTAATTCCTAAAATTTTGAGGCAATTACCCCCAAAATCAATCCAAGCATTCCCTTTGTGATATGGAACCTTGTGGTACAATGTCAGAGAGATCCATACACTAACACACAAGTTATGTCTGGAAGTTACAAAAATGCTTATTTTTGGCCCCTTTTTGGCCCCTAATTCCTTAACTGTGGGTACCATAACCCCCAAAATCAATCCCAACCTTCCTTTTGTGGTATTGAACCTTATGGTAAAATTTCATAGAGATCCATTCACTTAAACTAAAGTTAGAGTGCGAAAACCAACGTGTCTTTGGACGACAACGACGACGCCAACGTCATACCAATATACAACCACAAAATTTTTTGCGGTCGTATAAAAACTGAGTCACAAAAAAGCAAATAGTGCTGAAAGTGGCATTAAACACCAACCAATCAATCAATCTTATAAGAACACATCATCAAAGTAAGAATATCGTAAAATAAATGCGAATAAAAGTATCTGCGAAAATAAATCGGTTTACAGTATATTCCAATTGTTTTTATATTTGGTTACATAACACATCTATTCTTTACAGTTTTTTTTATATTATATCACAGGTATAACTTCACAGTAGACTTTCAATATTATAAGATATCCTGAAAACTCAAAACCTACCTTTCTTTGGGTGGAGTTCCATCCCAACGACCACTTTCAGGTGAAGCATTCAAGTCAATGGTTAAGGAAGCATTGGATCCTCTCCTAAAACATCAAAATATAGAAAAATTTAACACATATTACACTATGTGTTGTTTAGAACAAATCTACTTAGAATCTCTAAACAATTTCTGTACTGTCATATGACCGCAAAATTAATAAAAGAAAAAGATTTTTTTTTCCACTCCCATTTTGCCTGATCCTTTACTAGCAGATTAAAGTTCAGTTAAGTGATGGGTACTCATACTCAGCCAGTTAAAATTACCCTACAGTGATGTTTCAACGGGACTTAAACATAGCTTTCTAACAGTCCAAACATTAAACTGCACTTCTTCTAAATATGGTAACGGTCACACTTTGATGCTATATACAAGACTTTAAAGGGACTAAAACCTACCTTTCTAAGAGTCCCTTAGCCTTGATTCTACCAGTAGGGGTCTGTACTGGAGTAATTGACCCTGGTGGTGTGTAGAGGGGACTGCCTCCTGGTTGTATCATTTTTGGATCTTTCATGTCAGGTTTGACAGAAGGAAAATAAATCTGTTGCAGTTTTTGTGATCCTCTGTCATTTTCAGGTTCTTTCTTCTTTTTACAGCAGCAGCAGTATACCTGCAAACAATTTGTTTCATTATTGTACAATTGATAGTATAATGCAAATGTTAAAATTAAAATAGTAATACTTTTACAAGCAAATTCTGCAAATAAGTCAAAGTCAATGAACCATGACTGAACATGCCGGTCAAATAATCTCCATTGAAATGAGAAATGCTTGGACAACGCTTGGACAACTGTATGGGTGTTTGATGGTTGGTGAATGAACTGAGATCTATGGTGTTTAAACTTTTAATAATAATCCTAATCAGTTTGTTAATATGACCTTTCACCTTAGATCTTGAAATTGAAAAGAGCTAATAATACTTTCCATGGCAAAAAAGTAGAGAACTTTTGAAGGTTGGAAGGTATACATGAGCTCTATAGTGCTTACAACCTTCAATTCCCAATGCTACGTGAACAACTATTCATTCAAACATGACCTTTATATTACATTGGAAATGAAATAAGATTTTTTACAATTGTACAAATCAATGTACAATAAGATGGGAATATTGCAATCTGATACTAATTAAGTTGAAATACTAAATAATGTATACAATGTTTGAGTGCTTACAAATATATTTAACCCCACCACTTTCTTTATATGCCTGTCCCAAGTCAGGAGCCTGTAGTTCAGTGGTTGTCGTTAGTTCATGTCTGTCATTTTTGTTTTTCATAAATTGGTTATAAATAGTTTTATCAATTGAATTGTTTCACATTTTTTTTGTTGGGGCTTTTTATAGCCTACCATACTGTATGGACTTTTCTCATTTTTGAAGGTCGTACGGTTGCCTATAATCACTAACATCCACTTCAAATGAACTTGGTGGATAGTTGTTTCATTGGCAATCACAACACATCTCCTTATTTTTATGATGACTTACCAGCACTGTTGTCATCAGTATGATGCAAACACAACAAGCTGCAGCTATGTAAGGGAAGTAACTCACAAACCAAGATGACAATGGTTCACTTTCTTCATTGGTTACTAGTATTGCTTGCTGTAACAATATAAAAACAAAATAGAGGTCAACTTTAAAATAAATAATAATAAAAACAAATGCATTCACATCAATTCATCTTCTTGGTTTTTTATTTGCATTTATAAATATATTTTGCAAAAGGTTTTTAATTTCCAACAAATTCTTTTTATAAGATTAAAGAAAGTTCTGTAATTCATTGCAATTGTTGATAGACAGACAAACATGTGAAATTAATTAATGTGATTTCAGGAATTGGTTTATACAATTTTAAATGAACAATCATAATCAATGATCTAATTAATGTAATACATTATACTAAAATTATTGCATTTCCTCAACAATAAAACCCTCAGAAAATCTTAATTCAAAGCATATATACAATAATTACTTTTTGAATAAGATTTTTCAAAAACACATTCCAATATTGATAACTAGTAAATATATTTTAATTGCATTTTCAGCAAACAATTATTAAAATTATGAATACTTTTTAAAAGGCTAACAACTTTTAATATCTATTTTGATCTTTCTTTATTTCTTACTTTTGAAAATATTATCAATGCAATTTCTATCAAATTATAGTTTTTTCATAACAATCTGCAATAGCAAGAACTTGGCCCAAACAAAAATAAAATGTTATTATGCATTTCTCCTTTAAGACATTAGGGAAGGTAGGCAGATCTTTTTTTGGATGATGGGGGCCTCAATGTTCTTACTATGAGTAGATGGGGACAACCTGCATTTTGTCAATATACACTACAATAAAGGCTACTTTAGAGTAGAAATTTTAAGACATAAAAAAAGGTTAGGTAGGGAAACTCTTCATAGATTTTTTTTTCTACTTTCTGCAGATCCCAGCCTGCTAGCTGTGAAAACATGCAATTGATATGTTATATTGTTCATTCTATTTTCCCCCACCAAAATGAATAAATAGTGTTAAATAAAGACTCAAAGTTGCAGTAATGTCAACTTTGAACTAAAATGTATTGTGAAAAGAGGATCATGTATGATGTACATTAAATTCTTTAAAATCTAAAAGTTTTTACCTTTGGCAACATATATTTCTAAATAATTGTTTGTTTAACATGTTTTTACACAGCTTTGGGGAATGACATACATTCAGTTTTATTTGAAGTAAGTATATGGCAAAAGACAAAATATATGAAAATGATATAAACAGGTTATGCATGTTAGCATTAGTTTCATGCTCTTATTGTAGTAATAAACTTAAATGTATAGCCACTTATCAAAATAATTCTAAAACATCACAAATAATATATGATTTTCTCGCTGTGTTGGTGGCCTTGAGCTGTTTCCTGCTCTTTGGTTGAGTTGTTGTCTCTTTGACACATTCCCCGTTTCCATTCTCAACTTTATTTTATACATTTTTAACAGAAATATTTAAAGCATGATTTTTAAGTTATCAAAATCATTGGCAAATCTATGAAAATCAGAGTTAATAAGAAACATATTTTTGCAGAGGACTACAAACTAATTAGCCTACATAGGATATGACAAGTGTGAACTATAAACTAAGAATGATATACATATCAAAAATAATTGCCATCAACAGACACCAAGAAAAACTTGTTGGCATTATTTTCTTAGCTGGGAGGTTTGAGAATCAACATGTGACAATTCAGTCACAGCACAACAAATAATGAAAATCTTGCAAAAAATTTAATCCTCTCTGACATACAGATTTTGAAAAAATAAATTATTACTTCAATATCAACACAGACTAAAGAATACTTTTCCGTCTAAAAATATATTTTGGTCAAGTATTTGCAAAATTTAACATTTCAAGGAGCACAAGATAACAATTAAATCAATCAAACTAAACCAGGAAAACATTCAAAAGTATTATATACATACATTACAGCCATAAAATCCTAATCAAGCCTCCAAAATTTGTTTGGGAAATAACTGTATTCCTATGTATAATTACCAACAAATCTGACAAGGTTCCACTTCATTGGAATTTGATCAAACCCCCACAAACTTTGCTATGCTTCATTAACTCATTATAACTTACATATAGAACAAATAACTGTGTGTAAAACAAATTCTCCCTCCCACTCGTTTCCTGTTTAATATCGCTGTTTAACACATGTAAAGGACAAAGAAGGGGTGTGTATCTAAATGTTTCCTCAAATGTTAGGTCAAATTAATACATTTATTTTTTTTTATTTTAGCAAAAAAAGTAAACAAAAAAACCTTAACCCAGTTAACCCTTTATTCATTAGTTCATAGAAAAGCTGGTGTAACAACTTTTATTAGTGATTCTTGCATGATTTGGCTTTAATTTCTGTTTAGGTCCCCATACGGTAATATGGCTCCTTAAGATTATTAGACTTCTCATTTTTGAGTGTTACCTGATGAATCAGAATAGTCCTTTGAATGCACCAAATTCAAAATACATTATTTTGATTTTCAAGCATTTATGAATACCACTGCTAGTGAACAGTTAGTCCCCAGGAGTATCATCAGTCCAGGAGTCAATGCTTTGTCACTCATAATATATAACATATACATTTCTGCAGAGTTTTTAGAAAAGTGGTGGTCAGAAGTGGTAACCAACAAAATTTTGCAAAGGACCAATCAATTTTGGTATTTTGCAGTAGAAATAATAGTGAGGACCAGCAAATTTTCTTCCAGGACCAGCAAGGGAAAAAGATTTTGAGAACTCTGATTTCTGAAATGTTTACTTGATAAATTATGAAATTATTCAGAAATAAGGAAAATAACTCCCTAAAGCTGACCTTTGAGGGTATTGGCTATTCTTTTTAATCTTACTTTTGGTCATATAAATAGCTCTTCAAGTATTCATACATCCCTGGCTTTCTGATTTTTGAGCATTTCAGAGGAACCAGATTTTGTCAAATTTCACCAAATCTCTAAACTTTTGGCCTATTTTGAGTGTAAATGTCACCATTTCATCAGCAACGTTATACCAGTCGTTCTATTCAATTTTCTTTCTCAAATGTTTATTCTGCAATTTTTAAAACACATTTTATGTTGAAATAATGAACTTGATATTGGGGGCCAAATAAACACATTACCGCACCTACCCTTTAATAAAAAGTTGTTTTCAAATTGCAAGGGATTTAGGGATTCAAATTTTACAAGATGGTATACAAAAGCTTGCAGCCCTTTGTAATAGATAACCTGATTACATGCTGACAGCTATTCACAAGTACATGTACAGGTCAATCACTCATAAAAACATATAACTAGAATGTATAGTACATGTATATATAGGTAATCTTTAAATTCAATCTTGTTAACCAGATATAAATTTATCAAACATTTCCTTCTATGTATCCTGTGAAAACTATATAGGGCACTTTATAAAGTTTTATTTGGGTACATATCAACTTAAATTGTTGTATTTATTTCATGATCTCATTGCGAGATAGGATATTGATTATGTCAAATGTCGTAAACTCAAACAAGAATTTTGTATTTAAAAAAAAAAAAAATTTGTTTCAGAATTTTACTATTTTGATCATATAATTTCTCTTGAAGAAGAATGAATAACAAGTAATCATATTTGGTTTCAAAGATTTCTTGGATATTTATTGGCCTGAATTGCTCACCAGCTTTATGATGCTATTTTGATTATATTTCAACTTCATGATTAGATTGCATTCAAGTAAAACCTAAGCCACAACATTTTTTTTCCTTCAGACCAATTATCACATTATTCATTTATGCAAAAAAAAAAGAATACAAATGTATTTTCATAATAATTAATTTTTCACTCAAATTTTTTTAATAAACTTTTTCTCAAGCTGTAAATGAACCTTCATTTATAATGCAATGTGGATACTTGCAAGTGTTCCCCCCTCCTTTTTTTTTTAAACAAGTGCAATACGCTCAATCCTTAAATACACAGCACACAATGGCAACTGCTTTATGACTTATTTTTTTTATAACTGAGATTGAACCGTCTTAATAATTAGTTTTTATAGATCTTGCATTGCTTATAAATTTTGCTGTTTTCTGTGTTGTAGTTTTCAAGGCAATATTTTGAATTAAGTTATCTCCCTTTGTCCATAATTCTAGGAATAGCAGGAAGATTCATGCATAATTTTCTCAATATTGCACTATTTTTATCAAACTTAACAGAAGCTCCTGTCAACTGCAGTTAAGATAACACTTCTTGTCTCATATGGTAATTGCAATTTCAAAAACTTTAACAAGAGGTTTAACCAATTCTAAAAATGTGGATTGATAGATTGTTTCTTAACATCATTAAATGTGGACACAGATTAGCTAAACGCTTTGCTTCTCTTTTGAACATATTGCATAGTGCAAAATGCATTACGATCTTTGAAGTTTTAAAAAAGTGGGTCCTAGTTGCAATCATTTTGATTGCAAATTAACAAACTCCAACCTCAAAGCTGTATGTCTCTGCTGGTTGCTGGTGTTTTTGAATAGGATTGACACAATCAAAGATTTGATTTGATTTTTGGTGTTTTAACACCACTTTTAAGCACCGCTTTTGGGCTATTTCGTGGCGGACAGTTTTTATTGGTGGAGGAAGCCGGAGTGCCCGGTATAATCAAAGAAGATATAGATCTATTGAATGGAATCCACGTTGGCAAAAATCTTGCCTTTCTGACCATTTTTGCTTTTTTTTTCAATTTTTTTTTCTCTGTCTACTGTAAAAATACTTTTTTAAAAAAACAACGGAAAAAATGGGTTAAAATTCTATGGCAAACTACTATGAGTGGTTGACTGATGATATATTTGACTAATTGGTAGATCTGGTCTAGCTTATTATTTTAGCTGTTTTATGTTTCTATATATTACAGTTTTCAAAATTATAACCAAAAACACCAAAAAAAGGGTAAAAATTGTTATTGAACAAGTAGTCCTATATGGTTTTGTATTTTTTACTTCTGAATATTAATTAAAATAAGACCTTGAAACTGAAATAAATCTAAGAAAATACTGTTATGTAATGTATAAAACATAAATTGATACTGAAGGGATTTCAATTCAGACAGTGAAGGACAACCATTGACTCATTGGCTCTACAACTGTTACCCACAGAACACAGGGTTCATTTGGTCTAGGTGCAGTGTGCAAACTTTTTAAGGCACATGGTACTATTTTAGCTTCTGTTTGGCAATTTTAAATATTGAAAAAGATCGATTGATTCATGTTATTACATGTTCTCTACTGCATTCATGGAAAATACAGAAAGTTTTCACATAGAATGATTCATTGATGATTGCAAATCAGTTTTACATAAAATATTTAATGTATTTTTACTTCTGTATATTACTAATTATGTTTATAATCTCGTTCAACAAATTTTGAATGTCAAGGTGATATTTACACCACGAACTGCTTGCAATAAATGACGCATTATAACTGTGAACGATCAATAATATAGGACAAATCTGTGTGCCGTGTCAATGGATCGATAATATAGGACAAATCTGTATGCCATGTCCCTCCTCTAATGTAATCCCCTTCTTGCTGTATTATTTGGTAACCAGTACTGTATACCCACAGGTATGCAATAGTATCAAATCTAAAGAAATGTGTCTTATTGTACTAGAAACTTAAATACAAACTCAAAACAAGCACTATTCTAGCTCATTTAAGAGGCACACCTATTCAGTTATTTTTTCGATAAACTATCTCCAATGTAAAAAGTCAAATATTATGATAAAAGTACTGTAAATTCAAAATTTCTTTAATTATTGTGACTTTTGAACGATGGACAAAAATGTGAAAATTTCTATTCCAATTTCAGAAAATGCTAGATACAAATACTATCATATTCATAATTCAAATGGGAGATAATATTTTTGCAAACCGTATCATGTCACAATGTTTCACAATAACAAGAACATGGCAAAAATGTCTGAATTTTCAGTATATATATTTCCACATCTCATGGACAGAAGTTCCTAATTATTTTCATTTTCATCACATTAATGTACATGCCAAGCAACAAGTTAATTTGAACAGCAACCATTAAATTAGAAATAACTGCTAACAACTGTTGAAATGAAATTAAACTACCTTAAAAACCATCACCATATCAACATGATCATAATACTAACCTATATTCTTAAATAATGTTACTATACTTCATGTCAAAATGCCAGATTTTGATTGGTTAATATGAGGGTGATCATTCTCTATCCCATGGCTCAGCGGGAGACAATTTTCTGAACGTCACCCTCTCGTGCAGACCAATCAAAAATCAAATCTTTAAAGGAAATGAATTGAACTAACATCAAAAATTTTAAAGACAATGCTCAAGTTCTACGTTTCAGCTTCAGACCATTTAAATAGACCGTCAACTTACAGTCCAAAAAATACTCTTGTTTCGCTTTTGTTGTTTTTCTAATAACTGTAATGCTATTATGGTAATTATGTGCATAACTTCATAGTTAATTATTTTCAATTTTTAATCTAAAAGATAATAATGATTGAACATTCAGTATAATAAATTACATCACACATAGCTGAGAGGGTGATAGAGCAGATTGTTACCCTTTCTGAGTTCATGCAAGGACTGTGTCTATATATATAAAAATATAAATTTACAGATTTTTTAATTGTTAATTCTGTTACATGCACCCTTGGGAAGTGACAGAACAACAGCTTCTAATACAAGTTAGTATTTTGAAATAAAAGATTGCATTTTTTGTAAATATACATATATGATTTTCACCATGACTCACCATTGCATAACATTATCCTTTGGGAAATATAACATAAAAAATAGGTGTTACCATATCCCATACAGAAATTAAAAGGCCAGACTTAAAACTCTTTGTTTGCCATACCCCCAAAAATATGGAATTTGCCATACCCCCCAAAAAAACAGAACAGATGAACCTAGGAGTGTCTGAAACATTTGTTATCAGCATGCTCTATTTAATTTTAGTCATTAAATCCCCAAAGCTAAAGAAGAAAATACACCAACTAGTCCCTAAATTCAGGACTGAACAATCTGAAAAAAATTACAAAATCAACAGAGAATTGGTATTCATGAAAAAAAAACACTTAAAAAAACTTTTGAAAAAAATTATGGAATGAAGTCCCATAACTCCCACCTGAAAAAAATCATGGTGGCAAAAAGAGCTTAAAACTATCTCCATGCATCTACCTTTGGCAAAATTAATAGAGATAAGTCAAAACAAAACCAGAATTTTTGTGAAGATACAGAACAACATATCTGAAAATCCTTATATTTGAAATGAAGCTGGTCTTTAAAAAATCCTACATCAATATGTAACAATTATGTAAAAGTCTCTTCACATAATTACAAGACATTGAACATGTTGGGGCACCTGTTATTACATAAGATCTGACAGACATACAGTGGAATATACAACTAAGTACCTTGACCAATTTTGAAAGAAAACAAAAAAAAATCTTTTTAGAATAAGCTTCATAGTGTGTTTGTTGGTTTGTTTGGCTATGGCAAAAAATAATTTTAAGTTTGGCCTTCGTAAAAATATTAATACCTCTTCCCTTGTAAATGCTTTGTTCTATATCCATATTAAAAACTTACCAAATTGATTGTAGGTATAAACACCTATGAAAATTGGTTGAGAAATAAAATATTACTGTGTTTATGGTATATATACTCCCTGATTGTGGCTGATATTTAACAGTTTTGAAGTGTTAATTCATTAGATTAGCACTTTGATAAGGTTAAAATGTTTTTTTCAAAATCAATACTTTTCTTGACTATTTATGATTCTTGTGACCTTGACCTTGGACCAAGTGACCCTAAAAACCAAAAAAAAATCTCTCTTCCCCCCGAGAAACAGATTTATAAATTGAAAGATGGAATTGCTGATGCAGTAAAGATAATTAATATGAGTTTGAGTTGACATATCAACTGCTAATAAAATGATTATAAGTACAACAAAAAACATTTGAATGCAAAAACAACCTTCTTTTAGTGCCTTTCATTTTCTTTACATATGCAAAGCTAATACACAAGAATCCTTCATAGTAACATGGGGAAATTGATTACTTACTTGTGGTCTTATGTTGGTAATGTTCAAGAATGGTAGGGTATGTTGAAGTGTGTGCAACAACTTTGGACTGACAATTTCTTTGACTGGAATCAAATCATCAATACTAAATGTGGTCACTGGACGTCCATATCTGACGAAAAACATCTCAACTGTGTTTCCATGGTACTGAAATAAAGTTTTCATTTCTTTTAACATTTAATCTATTTTTTATATATATTAACCGAAAGCCAATACTGGATTCAAACATATCATTTGCATTGTCTATACTGTTAAATACAAAACCTTAATTCCACTGTCAAAATATTAAGTAGTGGAGCCACTGCTTCCAGGGTTACCGAATGATCATTTCATGTGAAAACTTCATATTTTTCCACAACTCTAAACCTTTAACAGTGACAACACCATGATCTTATAAAAACCTGATGGTTCATTGTTTTTTATTCTTCTATTCTATATTCCCCTTAATCAAATTTATTACTATATTATTTACTTGTTATAAAAGTATAATTTTGAACTTTTTACAGAGTAATTAAAATAACATTTCCATAGTTACAACCTAAGCGATACTTGTTTCAACCAAATTTTCTTTCAAGATATGGAATTCAAACCAAAGCTGCTCAGGTAGATTGATCGGTGTTTGCTTTACGCCGCCTTAGCGCAAAAAGGCTATATCGCGGTGAGAGCTAATTCAAATATTTTTACAATTTAATGCTCAGGTAGAACTAGCTTAAATCTATTAAATACAAAGCCACCCATATAGCAAACACTTTATCTTCAAATATTTGAATGGCTCATCAAGCTTTAATATGATAAAACTCATATTTATACTACTAAAATAACGAGGTCCTATTTGTTAGCCACCATAGGGGGTAAAAACTATGAATCAAAGAATTCAACTTTATATATAACTAATATAGGACAATAGTGTTGATTAAAAATTACGTCATTCCAGGCCCTTTTGTTTTCAACATAATTAATACATGTATTACCAATAATTAACATGTTCCGGGTCGAATCCGATACCGATACCAATAGTATATGTCACCTGTGACCTATTACCTAATCTGTACGTTCCGCTTTTGTCAGGCGCACCATCCAATGGTGTATTTGGGATTTGCTACATACACAGGTCATAATCACACCTGAACTTCGTCATTATACAGGGATTGACACTACTAAATTCAATCATTGTCACATGAATGTATTTTCCGTCTAGTATTCAAATCAACACGACTTTATAAGATGACAATATGAATACTTAATTCCAGAATAAAAATAAGGCATAGGTACTTTCCAATTTGTTAGCCGGCTTGACATATAATTGAATAATAAAATCGAATTAATATTACCAATAATTAACAAGTTCCGGGTCAACGAGTTCAAACAGAAAGATTTTGAAAGCAGAAAAAGCTGTTCACCTTATAATCAGCATGACTTTATCAGATAACAATACGAATACTAAAAATCCAGGTTAGAAATAAGGCTAAGATACTTCAATTCAGACACGGACCCGCGGATGTGTTCTAGTGGACTTATATAATTAACAACTTTTAATAAAGCTATTCGATAAGGCTACAGTTTTTGATGTATATACTGATAATACTTACTCCAACTTTCTGAGTGACCACATTTTCTAATGGCAGGCTTAGGTTTGTTGCAAATGCAATTTCAAGCCATCGTAATGCAGTTTCATTCAAATCTTTAACTTGTATACCCAGATCCTGAAAAAATAAAATATTTATTAAACATTACAGAATATAAATTTAAGTAAGCTTGAGACTAATTCTGCACCTACGATATCCTTCTTAATTTTGCACCTACGATATCCTTCTTTTAAACACACTATTCTTTATACATGTATCACACACTATCCTTTTTACATAACTTCCCTCTTTTTATCACACAATATCCTTCTTTTTGATCACACAATATCCTTGTTTTTAATAACACAATATTCTTCTTTTAATCACACAATATCCTTCTTTTTGATCACACATTATATCCTTCTTTTATATCACACAATTGCCTCTTTTTATCACACAATATCCTTCTTTTTGATCACACAATTGCCTCTTTTTATCAAACAATATCCTTCTTTCCACAATATCCTTATTTTCATCACACAATATCCTTCTTTTATATCACACAATTGCTTCTTCTTATCACACAATATCCTTCTTTTTGATCACACAATATCCTTCTTTTTGATCACACAATAATTATCCTTCTCTTATATCACACAATTACCTCTTTTTATCACACAATATCCTTATTTATATCACACAATATACCTCTTTTTATCACACCATATCCCTCTTTTTATCACAAAATATCCCTCTTTTTATCCCACAATATCATTCTTTTTAATCACACAATATCCCTCTATTTATATCACAATATAAATCATTTTACCATCTTTTTAACACATGATATCCTTCTTTTTATCACATTAAGTTTATGACATGAGGTTGCATTACATATATATGCCTTAATCAGTTGGTAAATATACTACATGTATTGTAAATGTTTGTTTGAAAAATTTCTGTAGCTTCCACCTTCTTCAATATAAGAATCAAAATAATTCACTCTATTAAACATGATCCTTGTAAAAGTTGTTTTTCATTTCAAAACAGAACACAGCAAAGTAAAATAGGATTTTTTTCTGGAATACTTTATGTGAGATGTCACTTTTGTACGATTTGACATTCATGTCATTATTTAATAAACATGATAAATGCATCTTCGGGGAAATAATCTGAATACCCTTTACCTGGGGTTAGATATATAAATGCTTCTTCAAACAGCCTGCTAATGAAAGCTTGTGGAAAATAATCTGTATACCCTTTACCTGGGGTTAGATATATAAATGGACAAGGAACAGACCAGAGAATGATATGTCCTTCTGTTAGACATTGGTGTAACATGAAAATATCAGTATAAATATCTTAAATGACATTAGTCTTGAATGTTTACATGTTGTGCTGTTATACCAATGTCCAATTTTAGGGAAGGGTTGAGGGCTAGCAAACAAGATAAACCCACCACATTCTTTATGTGCCTATCCCAAGTCAGGATTCCAGCCTGTTATTCAGTTAATGGTTCATGTCGGTCACATTTGTTAATTGTTTGTTGTTTTATCATACCAGAACGTTGCTCTTCTTGTAATGTTGTTGCCTTTTATAGCCAACCTAACAGTAAAGGCTTGGCTCATTGTTAAAAGCAGTACGGTGACCTATTGTTGTCTTATGAGCCATCATACCACATCTCCTTATTTTTATATTGCACTGTTATAAAAAGACAGAACTAATCATTATTGTATTTACCAGCTACATACATTTTTAAGTACATATGTTATGAATGTCTATTCTTGACTTGTGAATGGAGCTGTATCAAATGCTGTTTGAGTTAGATCTTGAGCTCCATCCACAAGTCATATTGATAGAACAATGTGAATTTCATATTTTAATTTACATGAATCTTTTCATGTTCAGTTCAAGAGCTTGACATTTCAAATGTCATGAAAAAAGACCAAACTTTCATTTATATTTGAAAACAAATTAGTTTTACGTAAAATTGTAATAAAAAAAAATGGTAATGTTTTTTTTCTATGTGCATAAAATAACAAATGAAGTTTTATTACAAACACCTTGTTCACACATGAGAGCCTGAATCTTTCAACTCTATCATTAGAATGAATTGCAAAACTTTTGCATGCCTGACTTTCTCATTAATTAATAAATTATAAATGAGAATTTTTTTTTTTTTAAAGTTCAATACATTATACATGTTATAATTACAGAAGGTTAACAATGCATGTGTGATATTTCATCTGAACAAGTCATCAACATAGCTATTATATTCCCATTCTTAAGAAGTAATTTCCTCTTTTCATATATAAGAACTTTGGGATATTAATTACTGCTAATTCCTAGCAATAATTAACACCTGTGTAAAGTCAACCTATCAAGATTTTCTAGTAGTTGAGCAAAATAAAATCAATGGTTAAGCTATATTTATCTGTATTAGACAGTTTTCTGTGATCCATTTACAAATCCATAATGGTATTATTGGTATCTTTGACATTGCAAAAAAGATCTTTGTCTTTGATGTCTGGAGTAATCTTCTTATGAAAATCTATGGAGGTATTGGCATATATTACAAATAACAGTTCTTATCTGGAAACATCAATATCTTTTATTGGAGACAATTGCTCTGAGAATGTTTTTAGAAATGCAGCAAACAAACAAAGTTTCTTAACACTTATTGGAACTCGCATCAGTGAGCATGATAAGCAAAAGTTGTATGTTTTTTATGGAACCCAGGATCATGAAAGCTACCATTAAAGATCAAAATAGTAGACATACACATTTGTGCATTATCCTGTACATTTCCTATGTAACTAAGTTATTGTGTCACAGTAAGAACCTCTTGTTCAATGGGTCATCCTGTGTAACTCATCCATAACTACAACTCGAGAATTGATGGGTCATATAAAACCCTAAGTCTCCCTTCTATTTACTAACCCTATCAAAATCTAGTTCTACTGAACCTTTTTTTCCCCAGAAAAAGTTATTGGTTATTGCACATGTATGTCCTATCCATCCATCTACAATTTTTTTTTTAAAACTAAACAAAGAATAATTACCTCCCATACGCACTAGTAAAATGGGTGTGCTAGTAGATTTTCTTTATAAAAATAAGAAGATGTGGTATGATTGCCAATGAGACAACTCTCCACCAGAGACCAAATGACGTTGTAATTAGCAACTATAGGTCACTGCACAGCCTTCAACAATGAAAGATACACATATAGCGTTTGTTTACTAATGCAAGCTTTATTATAAATATTTGAAGATGTATTTCGCAAAAATGAAAATGACAATCAAAGCACGAAAGCGCTGTAAAGGCAGTTAATTACAGGTTGTGTGTATTTTAAGTCCAGTTATATCATTATCTTGCATAGTACAGTGTACTTATCAGAGGTGGCTTTCAGTATTTAAGATTTAGAGTTCTCCAATGATATTGAATAAGTTTTATGAATGTCATATTCTGAGCACTATATGAAGGCGATTGTTCTCACTTGTTTATGAACTAGTGCATTATGTCCAGTTTGTACCTTTTTTATCTATGTTTATAGTCAAATTAGTTATCAAAGGTACCAGGATTATAATTTAATACGCCAGACGTGTGTTTCGTCTACATAAGACTCATCAGTGACGTTCAGATCAAAATAGTAACAAAGCCAAACAAGTACAAAGTTGAAGAGCATTGAGGACCCAAAATTCCAAAAAGTTGTGCCAAATACGGCTAAGGTAATCTATTCCTTGGATAAGAAAATCCTTAGTTTTTTCATTGGCAATCATAACACATCTCCTTATTTATATAATGATCTATATTCAACGACCTCAGGTACAAAAAAAATGTATGTAACTAAACTATGATGGGAAACCTTTGACTTCTTTCTTTATATAAACTTTTGATTTGGTACCATAGAACTATGTAGAGTAAATGTACATTGCAACATGTCAACTCTTTCAACTCCAAGCAAAATTATATTTCCAAGCATAAAGTAATTTATGAATGAAATAAAATGCTCCGCTGGGGCGCAGCTTGATACGACCGCAGAGGTACAACCCTGAACAGTTGGGGCAAGTATGAACACAACATTCAAGCTTGATTCAGCACTGAATTTGGATTGTAATTAAATATTTGACACAGCATAGGTTTCTGACACAGAATGAAAGTGGTCTAAGATACTTAAAAAAATTTAATTTACCTATTCAAACCATATCATTATTATTTGCTTTTATATATAAATCAGAAATAACCAATTTAAAATGGAAAATTTTAAAGAAAAAAAAGGAAAAAGAATCCCCCCCAAATTTTTGAACCCCCTTATGATTCATCACCCCAAAACTCAATCCCAGCCTTCCCTTTGTGGTATGGTACCTTGCAGTACAATTTCATAAAGATCCATACACTTGAACACATGTTATTGTCTGGAAACTAGAAAAATGCTTGTTTTTTGGCCCCTTTTTGGTCCCAAATTCCTAAACGTTTAGGGCAAATACCCCCAAACTCAAACCCAGCTTTCCCTTTGTGGTATGGAACCTTGTAGTACAATTTCATAAAGATCCATACACTTACACACAAGTTATTGCCATGAAACTAGAATAAAATGCTTCGCTGGGCGCAGCTTGATACGACCGCAGAGGTCGAACCCTGAACAGTTGGGGCAAGTATGGACACAACATTCAAGCTTGATACAGCTCTGAATTTGGATTGTGATTAAATATTTGACACAGCATAGGTTTCTGACACAGAAAGAATGTGGTCTAAGAACTTGAATTTTTTTAATTTACCTATTATGGTCCAATGTCCAAAATCAAAATACATGGTTAGAATCAGCATATCAAAGAACCCCATACATTCAATTTTTGTTGAAATCAAACAAAGTTTAATTTTGGACCCCAACTTGGACCAACTTGAAAACTGGTCCCATAATCAAAAATCTAAACACATGTTTAGATTCAGCATATCAAAGTACCCGAAGAATTCAATTTTTGTTAAAATCAAACTAAGTTTAATTTTGGACCCTTTGGACCTTAATGTAGACAAATTTAAAAAACGGGACCCTAAATTAAAAATCTAAAAACACAGTTAGATTTGGCATATCAAAGAACCCCAATAATTCAATTTTTGATGAAATCAAACAAAGTTT